TCGGGGATATAACTTCCATGGCTTACGGGAAGCTAGCTAACGTAAGAATGCACGTCGTTGGCAGGCAGTGGATGCAGGTCTGCGAATTCTGCAAACTCGTGTGTTTGAGTTTATCCCGAAGTTGCTGCGCATGTCAACTTCTGAATCTGCAGCCGACATTGTTTCTAGCAGACTCCACAAAGCACATGTAAGTTCTAACCACCGATCGCCTGCCACCTTCCACAAGTATACCTACCTCGTTTGGCCTGCTCTTGCACGAAGGGCATTGCATGCGCATGTATTATTTCGGGTCAGCCGTCATACAGACAGATGACTGTTCTTGGCGTGATTCATGCGACTTCTGACTACTTTTTCAGAATCTGGAAGCTGGACTTGCAAACCCACCGCCTAGAGCAAATATTGGGAACAGGAACTAAAGGCTTCACTGGCGATGGAAGAATCATCCCAGCCCCAGAGGCCGCTATCGACAGCCCCACAGGAGTTGCAGTCGCCGATCAGGTACTAAATCCTCGCAGCAACGGATGGTGCCTGAGTAACTGGTCAGCTACGACCTCACCCCCGACGCTAAGGTAACGTTCTGTGTGTGCCGCAGCTTGGAAGCGCAACTACTACATTGTACATCTTGGACAGTGGGAACAAGCGAGTTCGCAAAGTATATGTATCTCCGGCAGACAGGGGTGAAAGCTCCACGGAGGTCCCCTGTCCTGAAGGCACTTTTTCAAACAGCGAAGGAGGCTCCACAGAGGACGACTGCATACCATGTCCTGCTGGTTAGCCTGGAAGCATTCACTTCTTTGTGGAAAGCACGCAACGCAAGCCTGACCCTTGCAGCATTTGAATCGCTCTACTCTGCAAAGGAGCCTTTCTGCGAGCAATGCCGTTAAAGCGGAGCAGCAGCTGGCGAGTTCTACTCAATGGTGTCTGTGGTTAGTTGTCTTTAGGCTTTGCCTGCCAGGGACAAGGACAGCCTGAAGTAACTGGGCGGTGCGCTGACGGCTACTACTGTCCTGAGGGGAGTGCCAAGACCAATGCGGTGGCATGCCCGCCGGGTCACTTCTGCAAGGCGCTTGAAAGTAAGAGTGTGCAGGTGAAGCCGGTGCAGGCAGCAGCAGCATCAACATCAGCACCAGCAGAACCGGATTGTCCTTTGTTGAGGGCTTCCCCGAAAATGCTGAGACGGCGAACTTCGCTGGGAGTGAGGGAGGGGCAGGAAAGCAATGTATATACTTATATGCATATGCAGGCGTGTTTACCAATGTC